TTGATTAAATATATTATACTAACATTGATTGATCGTAAAAAGTATAATTTAGTTATATTTACTTATGATTAAATATAACACACTAATATTCATTGATCATAAAAAAGTATAATTTAACTAACGGAAAGTATACGAACATGAATTTTTCGGACTTGCTAAAATTATGTAACGTAGCAATTAAAAGAAATTATCACGTGATATATAATCACGTGATAATTTCATGCATTTTTATTAGGCAGATTGCAAATATACTCCTGTAAATACCCATGTAAAGTCAGTCTGAAATTGGCTAATTATTAATAATATACTTAACTTTTAAACCTCGATAACTTTTTAAATAATTATTCAATTCAAAATGTAAACTGATTTTTTGAAAGATTATAACTTAAACTATAAAAATATCGGTTTATTTTTTCAATAATATTAAAATTAAAAACTTAGATACAATTTGAATTTAGATTAAATTTTTGATGAGTATAGATGTTATGCACCATATATTATTTATAATATACTGATATGACTATAGGTAAAAAAATAAAAAAAAGCTAAAAAATCTAATTTTTTCTAAGGATCCTAAAAACAGTAAAAACACCTATCTAAAAGTTTTTTTAAAATTCTAAAAGTATCAAAAAGCCTATTTTTAACATTTTCAGAAGTGTTTCTCATATTTTTGATTAATTATTTTTTTTTCATAACTTCTGTTCAATTGATTATTTTTTAATCTTTTATTATTTATTTCTTTAATTTATCTATTTATTATAAAAGATTACGTAATATATTATTTTGAAATTTTTTAATTCTATAATGTCATATCTATTTTAGATTGTATTAACATTTCTTATTATTACTGATTTTAATTTCTATATTAACTTTCATTCTAATTTTTTTTTCTATTTCATTTTCTATTTTCTTTTTAACTTTTCTTTAATATTTTATGCATTTTTTTTAATTTTTCTTTATTATTCTAAAGATTAATATATATTTTTATTATATATATTTATTCTTAATCTTTTAAAAATTATTATGTATTTTATTATATATTATCTTTATATATTTCTTATTATTTCTATCATATTATTTTATTATATATTCTTATGATATTATTATTTTTTCTTTGAGATATTTTTGCTTCTTTTCTTATTTTTAATAATTATTTCTTTATTCTTTTATATTTTATATTTATATAATAAATTTTTTTTCTTTCATATTCATATTTTTTCTTATTTTTTTTTTAATTTTTTAGAAATATAGATTACTTAAATATTTTATGATATATTTTTGTTGATTTTTTATCTAAGCTTTTATATAATTTTTATACATATTTATAAATAGTCTTCTTTTTCTTTTATTCAAGTTTCTTTATAAATTTTTTTTTTTAATAACTTTAGTAATTTGTTTTTTATATTTAATAATCTATTTATATATTTTGATATGTATTATTTATCAATTTTTTATTGATATTATATGATTTATCATATGATTCTAACTAATTATTTTTTCATTATAATACTCTATTTAATTAATTATTTTTTATTATTAATATTGTAATAAGATTATATAATATATTATTATAATTTATTTATTCTATAATAATAATAAATTGTTTTTATTAAATAATAATATATTATTTTAATTAAATAATAAAAATTGTTCTAATTAAAATTAAAATAAAATTTAGATTTACTAGAAATTTTATTAATAAATTTTTATTTATTAGTTTTTTTTAAAAAAATTATTAGAAAATTTTTTGATTCTATAAAAAATTTTCAATTCTTAAATTTTTTTTAAAAAAAAAAAAATAATAAATTTTAATATTTGAATAAATATTATATTTAATTTTTTTTTACAACTTTATTATATATTAATAATAATAAATTAACCTATTTTCTTTAATAAAAAAAATATTAATACTATAAAATTTATATAATTTACAAAATAATTTTTTTTATTTAAAAACATATTTTAATCATAAAATTCTTTAAACCATTTTTTTTAAAATAATTTTTTGTTAATTTACTTTTATTTTTTATTAATATATAAAAATTTATTTTAAAAAGATAAAATAATTTCATTTACTTTTTTTGTAAAAAAAGGTTTAGAAAATTAATTATTATTATTTTCAAGTAAATATTTATTAGCTTATCTTTTTTATTATTAAGAATAAAGAATAATTATCATTTTTAGAAATTAATAAATCATTTAGAAAATATATTCAGATTATAAGTATTAATAAATAATTATAATTTTTTAAATAATTTATTCAAAATTTTTATTGACAAAAAACTAATTAGCTTCAAAATTTTTGACTATTTTTAAAATTTACTGATTTTTTTTAATTTTTTAATTATATTTTTAATTCTAGTTCTAAATTAAATAATAATAAATTATTTAAATAAATAATAAGAAATTATTAATTAAAATGATTTTAATAATTTAACCTGAATTTTTTAGATCAAATATATTAAATAACATGTCTAATTAATCTGAAATTGATTTAAAAATCTATTGATTTAATCTGAATTTTTAGGTTAATTCAGGTTATATAACAGATCAGCCTAATCTAATTTAAAGTTTTAGACATAATAAATAATATTAAAAGTTTTTTATTTTAATACTTTTACATATTTATATTTAAAACATAATAAATAATATTAAAAATAATCATAAGGATTAAAATTTAAAATAATTTCTCTTATAGTAAAAGTTTCAAAATTTACTTATGATTTATTGTAAAAATAGACTTATATAAAAAAGTATTTTATATTGTATAAAAAATTTTTCAATAAATTGTATAATTGTTTTTTATATAAGATAATGGAATTTCTTTGGAAAGTTATGAGATATAAATGATTTTTTTATATTATTCTATTATAATATATATAAAAATATATTGTATATATAGTAACTTTTTTCTCATTTAACTTTATCAAAAAATTTCTCAAATATCAAATAATCTTTTATTTGCTTATTAATAATAGAAATCAAAATAGATCTAGTTGATTTCAAAAATTATTTAATAATTAAAAATAATGAAAATTGTTATTAACAATCTATATAGAGTTATATGTTAAAATTCAATTAGATAAAAATATTATTTTTATTTTTTTTTTCTTTTAAATTTCTAAGATATTTTATCAATATTTTTTTCTATTATTATTTCTATAAGTATATCTTTATTTATTGCTTCTATTTTTTCTTCCTTCTTCTGAACTTCTTTTTTATTTCCTTTTCAAATTTTTATCTTCAATAAGTATTATAAAACCTTTTTCAATCAATTTAAAAAGAATTTAACATTTATTTCAATCACTTCTTATAATAATCTTTTTAATACTTATACTTATATTTAAATATATAAGACAACCCTAATGATAATCATGATTACAAATTAATACTTCACAATAAGGGGTTTCTTGCATAATTCGCAATTATTTGGTAAAGGAAATTGTGTTTATTAAATCCAGTTGTAAATTGCATGGTAATTATCAATATTAAATATATAAAGATTATTATTCTATAATATATAGATAATATAAAATAAACTTTTAGCTTTAATTTTTAAATTTAATTAATAATACTTTCGATAACATTTTAATTACAATTACTGTATGTATTGCACAAGATTCACAATTTAGTAAATGCGTTACTTTTATAATTTTGGTAACTAATTTCATCAATCACAATAAATTTTACAAAAATTAAGGCGATGTTTAGCAGCCAATCATACAAAACTTTGAAATAGTACAAATCACGTGATTTAATCTTTAAGTGTCGTATAATTGACGCGTTATTTTCTTTGGATTAAATAAAAAGGTTTCATAACCTCGCAGTATAATGTCAAATAACAAAGTACACGATTTTTTCAAACGAAAGCCAGCGGAATGGAGCTTTATAGGAACCATTCCAGTTAAATATAGACTTGTACTTAGGAACCTTAGGGTTATTATCAACCGTGAAGGAGGAAACAGGAAGGAAAAAATCCAACTTCTCAACAAGTATTATAGCAAGGCAAGTAAGGAAATATAGATGAATAAGTGGCGTGGCAAGGAATCAACTAGTTTCCTTGTCATTCAAGTCAATTAGTCGAGCCACAAGCCAATGTTGGGACACAGGTGATCAACTAGTTTGCCTGATGTTTCAAGTCAATTAGTCGAGCCAGCATTGGACCCATTGGGCGCAGGCAATCAATTAGTTTGTCTGTTGTTTGGTGGGATAGATAACCAGACTTTGCTAACTCTTTTAAATCTCCTACGCTAGGGTACTGAATCCTACCATAAATTAGCAAGGAAATGGGAAGCAGAACGTTCGAGAAAACCGACATTTATGGAGATTGGGAGCGCAAGTGGAACAGTAAATAACGGGACCATCAGCGGAACTGTGAACAATGGGACTATAAGTTGCGGGGCCTGTAGATAAACTGTACTGTACGAAAGTGTTTTAGCCAATCATAACTCGTTATACACTTTTTTCGAACAGTATAGTTTAGCTGACTGTACAGTACAGTTTATATGTATACCCAAATTTTCGTCGAAAAGAACCAACGAGAATGAAGTACACGCATATTTTTTTTAGCTAGAATTATAGTTTTTTCATGTTCCTAATGAACTTTGATTTTAATCTTTAGGATGATCATGAAGAGTTACAAAATAAACGAACAAGAATGGACGGTGAGAATTCTCAACAAATTTTTCAAGTTCAAATCCCCCTCCTCGTATTGTCACTCTCCCTCCTCCACCACGAACTCCTGAACTTCAAATATTTTCGTCGGATTCTTTTGTCCTCTCAACCACATGCGAATGTGACGAAACTGATAGTGATGATAACTTTGATGCAGGTAGCCGAGACCCAAGGAATCTTACATTTGATGAATATATAGAATGTGAGAATGAGGATGGGGATGATGACGATGTAGATTATGACGTAGATGACATTGATGACGTACTTCGCTTGGACAATTTGGTTATGTTTGATAAAGTTACTAACGACAATCCTGTGATTTTTTTTTTTTTACCGACTAGTGTGTTTGATACTTTGCTAAAATACATATTTGTTTCTACAGTATATATTCCAGAGAGAAAATATTTCTGAATTATTTATCTCATATCGTTCTAAAGTATTGCAAATGGGACAAGCGACAGGCTTATCAATTGCAATAGATTATCGAGAAATATTGTAAGTTTTAATCTTGAGAACACACCTTTATGTAAATAGTCTGCTAATGTTTATTGGAATTGTTAGGAGATTGTCCCACATTTTACTATTACAAGCTGACAACTTCTCGGACCTGCAGATCCAAGAATTTTCCAGAGATACTTTAGAACGATTGCAAAAAAAACATGCGTAATGCATATGCGAAGAAAACCATCATATGGGAGTGTTTCTAGGAAAATTAGGTTCCGAGAAATTTAATCTAATAACATCAAAAACTAAAATGCAATAAAAATCTCAATTTTGCTAAAAAATTCCCGGAACCTGATTTTCCTAGCAATCAACCCATATGATCATTAGTTATTAATGAAGTATAAAATTAAGTATAGCAATGTGAAATTTTATCAAGATTGCATTCTGGTGTTTGCATGATACATCAAACATATTCACTGGATAAGTGCAAACTTAATTTCACTTTTTATAATGTAAAAAAGTCCAGTATTCTGTATATTCAATACTAAAAATTCATTATTTATAGTGGTTTTTATAATAGAAACCGCTTTAATTTTCTCTTAGCCAGGACATAAGAAACGCCTTGCAATTCATAAATATCTAAGATAATTATATATGATTTCAAGTGCTGACGCACATAGAACCTTTTATATTCATAACTATAAATTAAAATGTTTACAATATTGTAAGCTTGGGTTTTTTCAAAAATAGTATTTAAATATACCAAAATTTCATCCAATATAGTTATTAGTATAATTATAGGACCTTAAATAATACTGATATAGATAGGAGCTGAAGATGTGTTGTCATTTTAGTAGCTATCAATATGTTAGAATTTGGAAATATGTACAATCATCAAAATTTTTTGATAAGATTAGAATTTGATTTTGTGTAATTTTGATTGGATTTTAGGATGGTAAGATGTTGGATTTGCTTATTTTGGTATACTTTTGGAAATAAGTTTCCTTTTTTGGTAATAATTTAACATTTTAATTTTATTTAATGATCATCTTAAAATAAATTTTTTTTCGAAAAAAATCTTTTTTATATTGCATACATAATGTTTTGTTGGAAATATAGTAAAGAGCGATTGGTTAAACATAAATATGTTGCTCATATTATTAATGCAAAAAAAGTAGTATATATATGTAAGAAAGAAATCAAATTAAACCGCAGATATGAAGAAGATTATTTAAATAGACATGTAATACATTCAAAATATAAAGCAAATGAAGAACAGAGAACAATTTATAATTTTTTTAAGCCAATTACTATAGAAAATATTGAAAGTTCAGATAAAGAATAGGATTCAGATATATATGATAATATGGATGAAGATGATGTTATACAAGTTAATGAAGAAAGTAAAAATGAGAAAATAGATGATTCATCATTTTCTACCTTTTAAACTGATGATAATAATACAAATATCAATAACATTTCTAAAAAAAAGCAAATTTGTATTGGACTACAATTTTTATAAATCTCTAATTATATCAAACGGACACCAGTTCAATTTGAAGATTCACGTTGAGTTAAAATTATAGTGTAGCAACTGTTTTCAAAATTATTTTCAAATAAATTCTGCCGAAAAAAATTAAACTTTTAATAGAAATGAAAATTAAATAAAGTTCTTTTACTAAATTAATTTGAAAAATTGATCGTTCATATAAGTTAACGCTAATTCTTAATCTTAATTTTTTTAAACATAATTTTTACTAATAAATTCAATTATCCAATTTTAGCAAGTGCAATATGTGCAAAAATATATATAGGAACTTCATAATATCGAAATGTATGTAATGAGTGTCATAATTTAAGAATTAACAAGAATCTTAGAAATAAGATTATCAAGAAATTACCATTATGAGAAAATGTAAAATTTACGCTAAAACATTATTAGAAAGATAGCAACTTGAAAAATTACCTTTATAATCTTGATTTACATGACATATGGAATCTTCTTAATAATGAAAGTGAAAATCAAATTAATAATACATAAGTAATATTAGCAGATAAAGCAATGAAAGATGCTTTTAATGATGTATTAGCATTTAAGGGTTTGTGTGAAGTGATGAATGATATAGTAAAAAAAAAAACTGAAGAATAAAGAGAAGCAAAATATGAAGTATTCAGAAGAATTTACTAATTTTCTTATTATATTAGAAAGTTTTAGCAGTCGTGCATTAGACTTATTTTAGCAAAACTTAAAAAGTCGTAGTTTGCAATCAATTAGGTATGTTGAGTGAATATTATATATAAAATTGGTTGATTTAAAATATTAATAATTTAATTGATAATTTAGACAATTAAGACGTAATAATAAGGATTGCTTAACAAATCCTGATTTATATTATGAAAATGTAGCCTAATTTAAATAATTAATTGAAGTGATCAATTATGATGATCCTGTGATAGCTATAACAGATAATACAAAACTTAAACCATGTTAAGATAATGTCCAATTCTTGGATGTGTTATTGATTCAACTCTCAGCAATAATGATATTAAAATCAATACTTACAGTAATATTTCAAACATCATCAATAAAATTAAAGAAAAAAATGCTGTTGCAAAAAATGTTTGAGCTTATATTTTACAAGTAAGTCAAATTTTAATAAATTTTATTATGAATATCTTTAGCAGCATGCAACATAGATATTGATAAGACAAATAAACATTGGGATTTCTTTTACTCACATTTATTTATTATTATTTATTATAAAGATTCTATTACCAAAATTTTCGCCAATAGTAATTGCTTTAATTTCAAATCATAAATCTGATAAAGCAGATAATATTGCTAAATTACACTTTAAACTTCTTGATAACATTGCATCATAGCTTGAATTACATTTTTTATCATTTAGATCAGACAATGCTATTATTGAGTTTCAATCTCAATAACAAATACTTAATGCAAATACTACAGAAAGGCTTTCAATACATAAAGATAATTTGAATATCCATTTTTCATGTCCAATTTTTTAGCAAATTGGTTCAGTAATACGTGTTCAGAATCAAAAATATGCTAAGAAGACTGTAAGAAATGTTGCAATGTCTAACGTACGACTTTTAACATTTAGTAATACATCAGTTCAATACTCTAATTTTTTTCAACTAATTAATCGTCATGATTTAATTATGTTTAAAAATGATGTCATAAAACTGGATCGTCAAGATGATGCCGTAGCATATAAGACTTTTTATTCAACAAATTTAAAATGATACTTGAATAATAATAAAGAAATACAACTAGGTATAAAAGGTTTCTTTATTTATCTTTTTGTAATGGGTAATTATTTAATTATTTAATTTAAATTTAAATTTAGATTTATTATTTATTATTTAATTATTAAATAGTTATATTTATTTTAATAAGTAAAATGATTGATAGTTATCTTAATAGGACTATTATTCCAATTAAACGAATTCGTATAATAATGACTAGCTATTTTTTTTTACACTTATGGCAATTTCATATAAATATATTAGCCAAAAAGTATTCTGATTTTATTGATATTTGATAAAATTTTCTTGCAAATCAAACTTTTGTTATTTTATCATCTTTAGAAGAATCAATGGTATTATTAGTAAAAGCTCATTATGAATATTATCCACATATATCTTTACTTTCTTGACTTTATGATACAAAACCCTGTGAACAACTTTTTGAAATGGCCTGACAAATCAATTCAAATTTTGACTTTGCTGAAATTGTTCAAATGCTTTCTAAAATCATGCAATATTCAAAAGCTTTAAAAAGTAAAAATTGGTTTTTAAAAAGAAAAAAAGTGTATAACAAGATATGTCATTTAATAAATATATGTGATTATTTTTATAATTTTATTCACTCTAAACAATTGATTTTTATTTGTTAAAGAATATCATTATGATTATAATTCTGATTTTCTGAATGAAAGTTTATTGGAAAAATTACGATTATGGCTATCTGATAATAATATACTAAAAGCTATTAAGCTTTCTCATTATTTGGCTTGTGAACTGGCAGAATATACTAGCATGATTCAACCTATTGATTTATCAGTTGAAATTAATAGACTTAATATCATAATTGAATCTAATAATGATGAGATTTCAATACCAAACAAATCTAATAGCGAAAATAAATTGGATGCATTAAAAAACAGTGATGCTAATATTTCTATGACAATTCAATGTGCTTCAAATCAAGTAAAAAATTAAATTCAAAAAAATAATTGGAAAGAACAAAATTTATGAATTCTTTTAACAAAGGTCATACTCAATTGAATTTAATTAATCAATTTAATAATAACTTATCTGTCATTAATTGTGACAATAGTGGTAAGTACTTTTTTTATTTATTTTATATTTGATAATTATCGTATTAGATGAATGTTATACAGTCAGACCTGTCTATAATCATCCTGTTTATAATCACATCCTGTCTATAATCACTTAATTTTAATGTCCCAAAAATATAATATTTATTTACCCTTTTTA